AGTATGAGCACATTCAGATAGTGGAAATGTAACCCTCTCGATAGGAACATACCTGTGTGGAATCCGTTGACGCGCCGTTCCTCCACAATTCGTGGTGGGTCTGTTGTTGGAGCAACGGGTGAGCTTGCTCGGAGGAAGGTCTCAGCGTGCGAATGTCGGCTAGATTGCCAAGCGGTGTCGACCACGACCATGGTGAAGCCGCTGGCGGAGCAGCAGATGGAACGGCTGAGTCATCCATCGACAGTGTGGCAGGGGTTGGTACAGGGCCGGGACGAACACCGATTGGCAGTGGTTGTTTCATTGGCGAGCGTTCGAACAATTGCCCAGTTGGTGGTTGGGCGCTAGAAAGATTTCCTGATCTCGATGACGACGATGGCGATTGTGGCACATGGCTATTTGATGAGCTTCCATCACGTGGTGAGACTGTAACAATACATTCTAATAAAGCCAGTCTTTCGTTTGAAAAATTTACCGTGTGATGAATAACGACTACTTTGCGGAGTTCTTGGCTGGCCTATAACTCCAGCTGGAGGAGGCTGTATTACAGAAGAAACAGATGTCGTGGTGGGACATGCTGGGGTAGATGGTTGAACAACTTGCACTGGTGGCAAACGCACGACTTTCGGAAGAACAGGGGCGGGGGGAACCTGGACAATGCGCTACCGTTTTTATTTTTTTCAAAAAATCTCATCACATACCCTTAGATCAGTGAACTGAGCTAGTGTTCTCTGTCCCTTGCGTATCGCTTCACATGCTGCTTCGAACTCAGATCGTGCTTGGGAAATAGCAGAGATACATTCTTCGTGCGCACACTTCCACTCGGATACGCTCCGACGCATTGTCTCCATGTCAGAATGAGTACGAGCACTGAACAGTTGAAAGAATCAAGCTTCAAGATTATTTGTAGTAGACAAAGCGGATGAATTCTTCAAAATGTTATACCGTTTAAGATTGTCTTCCGCTTCAGCAAGATTTAGCGCTGCTTCATCACGTGTTTTTTCCAACGCTGTGACACCGGCTGTCAACATCATTCCTACTTGTGCGACTTCAGCTGATCGAGCACGTTCCATGAGAGCCGCTATTTGAGACATGTGCTGTTTCCTTTCCTAAAACTCACAACTATGCGAGGAATAAGAATTTTGCGAATATAAGATGAAAAGATGGCGCATCACCGACATTAGATATTTCTAAACAATTCCCAATTGAGAGAACCCATGAATGAGATATAAGATACGACTAAAAATTAAATATTTTCTAATATAAGCAAAGAAATTCTGCATAAGGGGAAGGATATTCATAAGAAAAGGCAATTGGAAGCTCATATCTACCGGACAGAACGTTAAACGGACACTAAAATGTCTTCACTTTCAAACGTCCCCCTCCTCCTTCCCCAAAAGACTTTTCGCACGCAGAAGCAACACCTTTGATTCAACGGAACTGGCGGCTGGAAAGAGGGGTTCGAGGGCTAATCAAAGCTAGGGAATGATCCGAGAGCAAGCTCGCGAGAGAGACGCAGACTGCTTCGCCGGCGCGAGCGATCGCTTTTCAGCCGCCATTCCCGTTGAATCAACTTGAACTTCTATGTCCTGCATTATGATCAGCAATGAACTACATTGACCATTTTGAAGTTAGCATTTGATGAGAGAAGAATAATAGTTGAGTGGGTTTTGAATACCTCATAATGTCGAGTAGGGATTGTGTCAATGATCACAATTCTGCTTTTGTTTTGTCTGATGTGCTTTT